GGGGGGGGGGGGGGGGGGATATGAAGGGATTTGAACATGAAATCTTAAATATGTGTTAAGGATGGAGGAGAGAAGAGTACAAAGATATAACATATGAGTCCAAGGCCAGAAACCAACCAAAAAAAAAATGAACAAACTAGATTTGCAACAACTGCAATGTTGCTTGAATTGCAGTGAAGGAAGCAGGAGGGGAAGGAAGAGCAGAAAAACTGACTCAATGAAGATCAAACTTTTGACATGGAATATACCCGTTAAATGAATCAGAAAGCGGAATGTGGATATTTTAGGTTTTTAGGAGACGAAAATTGGTGAATATACAAACTCTTTAGATAGACAAATATGGGGCAACATATGGGCATTTTGGGCTGAATCTAAAACAAAAGGCAACGAAGGGGGATAATAAAATTATGGAATAAGACTTAAGAGGGAGTCAATAATGGTAGAAAAGAGCAGGCGGTGTTCTCAATATCTTGCATGTTCGAAAGTTTTGTAGAAAATTCAAGGTGGTACTTTCCAAGGGTGTATGGACCACAAACTCAAAATGAAAGGTAATACACATGGGAGGAGTTATGCAATAAGGGGTTTATGGGAAGGGACCATGGGTGGTTGGAGGGGGATTTAATGTAGTTAGATTCATGGAAGAAAGGAGGGGTAGTACAAGGAGCTCAAGATCCATGAGACGCTTTTACAATTTTAAACAAGATATGGCACTGATAGATTTACCATTACACGGGAGAATATTGACATGGGAAAGGGGGGAGAATAATCAACGAGTATCAAGGATAAACAGGTTCTTGGTATCAGTTGAATGAGATGAGGCCTTTAAAGCTATCAAGCAATCTTGCCAAAATGCTCTCAGATCATAAGCATGTGCTGCTAGAATGTGGAGATTGGGTTGCAAACCAGTTATTACTTCAAATTCGAGAACATGTGGTTTCAAGTTGAAGGTTTCACGGAGAAACTAAAGGAATGATGGGAGAGCTATAATGCCATTGCTAGTCTTGATCAGGTGCTAATGCAGAAGTTAGAGGTTAAAAGGATATCAAAAATGGAACAAGGAAGAGTTTGGAAGGTTAGGTAGGAGGAAGAAAGAAATTCTCGCAGAATTGGAGACGTTGAACGAGGAGGTTGATTACTAGCAACTCAACCAGGAAGAAAAAGCTAAAGAAGGGACATTGAGATGGAACTGAAAAAGATTGCAAAGGTAGAAGAGATTTCATGACACCAAAAGTCTAGATGTCTTTGGTTAAAAGAAGGTAATAGGAATATCAAACTTTTTCAGAAGTTAGCAAATTCACACAGAAGGTGCAACACCATAAGATGGTAAGAGAAAAGGTGGTAGAAGAGGCAGAAGCGATCAAAGGCGAAATTTTGAGCTTCTAAGCCAGTTTGTTTACCATACGCATAAATAAAAAAAGAGCTTACAAGCCAATTTAATCAGCTTATAGCTTACACAAACCTCTTTATAATTACTATGATATGCATGTTTGCTTAAAGACTTGCCCCACCTTTTGGAGGGAGATTTATGATACTTGCTGAGTATTTTATGTATTCACGTCTCTATTATTGTCTACTTTTCCTAGGTGCAGGCATTCTGCTAGGCAGCGCATCAAGCTAGGATTTTCCTCTTCTTATCTCTTGATGGATCCCACTTAGGAGTTCAAGGGTGCTATTTACAGTCTTTTCTATCATGTATAGTCGGGCTGCGTGAGTCCCGATGTCATGTTATATTTGTTAGAAGATCTAGAAGTCCATGTGTCCCTGTGGGAGTGGTATATGTACTTTTGGCTTAGATAAATGATTTCGTCCTTTGTCGAATGTATTGTGTATGTGTTCGGCGAAGGACCCATCTTTAAAGTTTAATTATTTATGGTTATAAGTATATGAATGTTAAGTTGGCCAAAGGAGTGTTCATATGCATGTATTAATGATTAGTAGGTAGTAAAGGATATGAGTTCACCTGACAGAGATTGTGTTATCGGGTGCCGGTCATGGATTACGGGATTTGGATGGTGACAAAGTTTTCAGGAGGAAGCATTGGGAGTTACACATACAAGACATGGAATTAGTTTTGTGTTACATTACCATGAGGGTAGATTTTACATGCTAGCATCCCTACGTGACAGGGATGATGTCTAGTCTCTATGAGTGTATACCTAGTATATGATGCCAAGACCTCTGCTTGCTTTGAGAATATGTTAACGGAATGGACCTTGGACGTAACTCAATCCGAAAAGGTAGCTCATAAGTGAGGATCGGCCAAAACCATATAAGAAGACAACATCCTCCACCATTATGAAACACTTAACACGATTCCTCACTAATAGGGGTGGTGGTACACCATTAGGTACAAATTGGAGCTCTCTCAGTATGCCATGTGTAAATTACTAATAGTTGTGGCCTCCCATGTTATACAACTGATTTTATTTACTTATATATGTTCTCATATTGTATATGGTATGTCACTACGCATTGATTCTTGGAAGATCTATGTTTAGGTGTTCACATTGTGTTCTAAAAAGAAAGCTTGTCCAAAAAGGATCATGGTTCGATAGAACACAATGTGAACATTTAAACATTAATCCTATGCCATGTTCAAACATAGATCTTACTTTAGATATATGTTTTCTTTCGTATGACTAAGGTGATTACACATGGCATACAATGTGAACATTTGAACATATTTTAATCAAAAGTATCACACGTAGGCAATGAGTGGAAAAGAAAAGCAAACCATCTATACATTCCACCCAGAAATTCCAGATAACTAAAAGTGAATGCAGAGAAGAAGAATCAAAATGCTTTGGATGAACTGACGAAAATGAGCCAGGATTCTTACCACTAAAATATATAGGTATTTGTAAGTCACCAAAGCTTCTATTCTACAAGAATTGCAAATTCAAAGTAGGAAAACGTTGAATTTCCGTATCTCACTGAAATCAAATTAGTCATGTATAAAAACTTCACATACCCTAAACTCCTAAAAACAAAGGCACCTAATGAATTTTACTAGCTTATGAAAAATCTAGATTATATTTAAATCTTCCTTTTGTCATCTTTAATCCCACTCTTTGTCCAAGCTAAAATTTTGGTTTCCCCTTTTTCTTTAAAAAGTCCTCCAGGAAGCTCATTATACCGCATTGAAACTGTAAATCTCTAAGTACAGATTCCAAATTCAGGGTTTCTCTTCTAATAAGTTGCCATACGAAAGTAAACGTATATCTAAAATAAGAAATTTATGCATACCTCATAATTTTCATCCTTTATATATTCTGCTTTGGAGAAATCTTTGGGACACCGCATAGCTAAATCTTCTGATATGAAACCAGTTCCATCAGTATGTATGCGAGGTTCGCCATCTTCATCGCAAATAATACAACCACTTTCATCCTAAAATTAATTAAAATAAAAGGATAAACGTATTTGCTCGACATAGTTGCCAGAAAATCACAACAGGAAGTACAAATAATTGAAAACAGAAGAAACAATACCCGACAAAGTATATCTTCAACTCTTTCAATAGTGACAGAAGCAAGGTTCACTTGAAGCTTAATTGTCTTTGAGAGAATTAATGAAAGCCTGCATATATGTGTAATCTTACTACTCGACCAAGAAAGCTCAATTAATATCAAAGATGACTATCAAGGACAAACCTGGCTGCATATTTTGCCATATTAGAAACCATATGCACATGCATGAAATGACACCTTGCTTCGCTGGTTCTTTTGGCAGCAAATACATAGGATCCTCCATGATTGTAAGTTTCAATGGACTCAAACCTAACAAAGTAGCACTTCAGAGAAGCTGTTTTTGTCTTCATTATGGCTGGGGTTTTCTTCCTCTCTTTATCATCTTTGTACACTGCACAAGAATCATGCTGTGAGAAAAAGAAGTAGAAAGGAGCCAAAGGTTAGAATTATCAGGTATAACAGTAATTATGACAATAATATTGATTTAACAATGAAGAATATTTCTTTCACAGAAAAGAAGAAGAAACCATCAGAGTGTTTGGATCTTTACATGTAATTATGACAATAATAACAGTAAAAATAACAAGAATAATAATGAAATCATGGTCATGATGGTGGCATGATGTGAAGTACTGAAAGTCAGGAGATCCAGAACTTGTGTAGAATCATTAACAATATTCTTTATATATAAATCAAGGGAATCATTCAAATATTTTGTAGAATATTTTAATTATTATGCCAAAATAATTTGGATAATCAAGAACAAGGAACTTTTCCTTCTTTCATACAACTCAAAGAGGTCCTCTTTTAATGTGGCTAACAATCACTTTCAACAGCAGTTTCTTTACTCATCTTTTCAAAAAAAAAATGTTGTTTCACCACCTTGAGATTGAGAGGTCATGTCAACAGTCAAGAAAATCATTAAGAATATCGTGAAAGATATTTTAATGATTGTGCAGTTAATGAAAGTAGAGAAAATCACTTAGATTGTGTAGAATATTCTTGATGATTATGTCATTATAATTTGGAATTTCGAGAATTAGAAAACTTTCCTTATGTTGCTCGAAATTCCTACATAAGCAAATTTTTCTTTTATGCTAACAACCAATTTCAAGTTTTCAACAAGTTATTTTTCTCTTCTTTCCCTCTTTCCAAAAGAACCAAAATAGAATTTCAACAAAACCTACCCTAAAACATTGAAGTACAATAAACAAAGAAAAGGAAATGTCATAAATCAAGGAAAAGAACACAAAATATCACCAAAAAACCGGTAACGTCTGAAGCCAACAAGAATGCCTTCCTCAACAATTATATTGGCACAACATGCATCTTCAACAAATTTGACGATCAATACATTTTCGTCCCCCAGGGCTCTCTGTAAGTGAGTCCTTGTTGTGTTCAAATATGGACCCTGGATAATTCAAAGCCTAATTTGATTAATGTCAAACCAGGAACTAGGAAATATAAGCTTAAGAACAAAAGGATAGCACATGAATTAAATTCTATCAAATTCTATTCCACCAAAGAAATCCTAAAGCCAGAATTGAGGTTCAATGAAATAGCTAAAATCTCTTTAAATTTTTTAAAATAAAGTATAATATAAAAAAATCTATTTTATAAGTAAAAATAAGATTAAAGATCCTAACAAGAAAATAATATATAAAGAAAATGAATTGGCATACTGCTTAAGATAACAGTTTCTTTTTCATTTCTAAGCTCAGTATGCAAAAGTTCTTCAAAGGCTGGCAGTACTCCCTCAAAACTTAGATGGAAAAGAGGATTTCGAAAAACCATTAACAAGAGGTAAGGCTTCCTATGAAAATAATCCATGGAAAGAGTGACTACAGATTGACAATAGGAACCTTGAAGGTACAATATCCATTCTGTTTAATGTGGCAATAGTAGAGATGTGTCTTCCCGCAATCCCAGTCCAAGTACTGCAATGAAGAAGAAGATTTGTAAAACATGTTGTAGACATACCAAGGCTAATCGTATTCCATGAAATCAATGAAGGAATAAACTAACACAATTGCATATCTTTCAGAACTACCTTCACCACAAGTACAACTTACGTGTGTGTATCTCTAACAATTAGCAACAGGAAAAAAAGAGAGAAAGAAATGGATGCAGTTGAACGATGAAGAAAATGCAAAGATAGATAGGTGAGATACACTATATGCTTGTGTTAACTAAAAAAATGAATCAGCTTTGAGGAGTGGTATGTACCTTTGATCGATCTGACTCAGCATAACATGCTTTTCCGAAGGCATTCCAAATTTCTGATTCAAAATCAGTCATGGGAAGAGTTTTCTTTCTTACAATATCATCAGCAATTTTAGGGGATATAACATCTTCCAACTTCTTGCTGCCAACAAGAGAAATTCAGGTCGCATACGAATACTAAGTTATTCCAGTTAGACTAGGCTACTTGGACTAACCTTCCAATGTAGCTCAGTACTAGAAACAATTTCCTGAATTCAAGTTCCCTGAGAATCATCAACTGTTGGCTGATATTCGGTGACGGTGTTCTACAATTAGATTCAGGCGATGGCTCATCGCGAAATGATAACCGGCGAACAACTCTGTGAGGGCTTGCAAATTGTACACAGGGCGAGGAGCCAATCTTAGGCTTTGGTTTAGTAGAGCTTTCACCTTGTACACGTTTACTCTCTGACCATAGTTAAGAATGAAAGTAGAAACATATAAGTGTCCAAAGTTGGTAAGTCATATAAATTGGGAGAAAGGGAGTACCTGGGGTTGGAAGGAGAGAAGGGGAGGTGCGTTTCTGAGGACTAGCGAAGGGGCTAGAGGAGAGACAATCCGGGTAGCGATCCATCAAATAAACAAGAAAAGCAGAGAGAGTCTTCCTTATGGGCCGAGATGATATGATTCTGAGAATCGCTAGTGAGCCTTGTTCGCCAATGGAACCCAGCCTTCTCCTTATGCCAACGTCCGGTGGTTCTTGACACTGCTCGCTGCAGATTTTTCTGAGCATCGCCTCTACAGAGGATGGCAGGGGTGCTTCAAGAAGAAATGGAGGGACTTCAACTTCTTCCTCAAATGGGTCACCCATATTTCCTGTGCTTTCTTCTCCCCAAAACCGGAAAAAAGAAATGGAAGTATTTCCAACACTGGAACCTTTGGGTAAACTCTTTGTGCAGACGAAAGACTATGTTTCCAGCTTTTCGTCTTCAGTTTACATTGGTTAAAGAAACTGGAATGCATTGTAGATTCTTCTTCTTTTTCTCCTCAGTCTTCTCATTTCATCTTTCTAGAAAAGTAGAGCTTTTGGGAGCTTTTGGGAGAAAAACAAAAAAGGGTACTGTTGCTTCTACACTCTTGCAAGTTTTAAATGCGCCGTACAAGTAATATTACTTGAACAAAATAACCTGAATAGTCCCTAAAGTGTAGGGATAAGTTTATATTGATCCCTTATGCATAATTCTGATTATTAATAGTCCCTAAATATGTCTTATTATGACTCTTTTGGTCCAAGTTTCGATGGAAACCCAACTTAATCTTGTTCGTTTTTTTTTCACTTTAAAAACAGAGTTCATATTGCACAAAATAATTATTTAATTAATTTTTTAATATTTAAGATTTTAAAATTAACTAATAATATTTTGTATTTGATTTATGTAGGAAGTCCTAATATTTAGGACTTTAAAGTCCATTAAAATTTTATCTTATATAAATTATTTTATTATTGAAATTATGTAATATAATTATAATACCTTTCATGTTAATTTTTTAATTTTTAATATTTATATTATAATAGTTCTAACATAAATAAAGAAATTGACAATGATGAAGAATCATGAACCTTTTATACCTAATATGCGTAATAAATTGTAACGACCCGTTCGGTCAATTTATGCATTTGAGCCCCGTTCCCCTATTTGATACTTTATGTATGTGTGCTTATTGTTTTTGTGACTTATGGGATTAGTTGATTTGGCTTCGAGAAGTTGGGAGAGACTTTGGACACTTAGTCTCATTTTAGAAGTTTAAGTTGTTAAGAGTTGCCCAAGATTTGACTTTTGAGTTGACGGTTTCAGCTTGGTGGTTTGAGGATTCCAATAGGCTCGTATAGTGATTTAGGACTTAGGCGCATGTCCGGATTTAGATTTGGAGATTCCTAGAATGTTTTGGCACTAATTGTCAAAAGTTGAAATTTGAACGTTTGGAGAATTCATAGGTTTGACCGGGAGTTGACTTTGATGATATTGGACTTGGATTGTTGTTTTGGGACTTGAAATAGGTTCATTTAGTAGTTTGGAACTTGTGTGTGAAGTTTAATTGGAATCCAAAATGTTTAGGCATGATTCGAACGTGTTAGGTGAAGTTGGAAGGTTTGGAAGTTAAGAGATGGATTTTGGTCTTCGGTTTGGATATTTGATGTTATTCGTGATGATTTGGGTCTTTGGATAAGTTTCGATTAGGTACTTGGACTTGTTGATTTGATCGGACGGGGTCCCAGGACTCATGGAACCATCCTTCTTCTTCACAAATAACACTGGTGCACCCCAAAAAAGAAACACTTGGCCTGATGAGACCCTTATTCAATAACTCCCGCAACTGCTCCTTCAACTCCTACAACTCAGCAGGAGCCATATAACATGGTGAAATAAATATGGGTTGAGTGTCCGGCACCAGATCAATACCAAAATCAATATCACTATCGGGTGGCGTGCTTGATAGGTCTGCAGGAAACACATATGGGAACTCCCTCACCATGGGGATTGAATCTACCGTAGGAGTATCAGCACTAACATCTCTCACAAAACCCAGATACGCCAAATACCCCTTTTTAACCATTTGTTGAGCCTTCGAAAAAAATTACTCTACTAGGAATGTGACCCAAAGAGCCCATCCATCCAACCTTGGCAACCCCAAATAGCAAACGTCACGGTCTTAGCGTGACAATCAAAAATAGCATGATACGCAGAGATCGGATGCCATGTCACACACCTGGTGGTGTTGTGTTTCTATGTCAAACCTCTTAATTTAGGGTGAGATGGCTTAGCCGATCTGTCAGAGATCGGACTCTGTGTTATAAGCACAGTGGTGTATCGGTGCTAAAGATCTCCCAACCTAAAACATTGATTTTTACTTGAAGATTTACCTCACTCTTGACTTGGTATTTTATTATTATTTGGTTTTCTCATTGATCTCATGTTTCTCTCCTTTTGTGTTGTCGCTCTATTCATTGAGAGTGTGTTTAGCTTTATATACTAGTACTATTCTATATATACTAATGCCTCTTTTGCCGGGGATGCTGCATCTTTAATGGATGCAGGTGGCTCCACAGCAGGCAGCATTGATCATTGCTAGCAGTACACCCTCAGTTGACTCGGTGAGCCCCACTTCCTATCGAGGTCTTGTGTTTTTTGCTCCTTGTACATTATATTTTGAGGTATAGCCGGGGCCTTGTCACTGGCACTTTCATATTACTCTTTTATTTTCATTAGAGGCTCCGTAGACATGGTGTGGGTTGTATTTTGATTGGGGCAGCAGACTAAAAATGTTGTAAATATCAGACATGTTTCCACTTTTAACTATGAAAATGTTACATTTTGGAAATCGGAAATGAAGTTTCTAAAAGTGATGAAAATTGATGTTGCACACTTTATCCTATCATGTTTAACTCTTGTTATTGATCCTCGCATTATTCATGGGTATGGTTAGGTAGAAGGTATCAAGTAGGCTTAGGTGACTAGGATATCTCGGTTGAGCGCCGGTCGCGCTTCATGAAGCCACAATACACCATCATCACCAGTAGTCACCTCCTTAGCATCACTATGTTGCACTGTGTCCTTAAGGACAATCAAATAGGGATCGTCACACTGGCGCTCCTTAATGCACTCAAACAAGGACGACCGTGAAACAACATAAGTAAGGACTCTGCTTGGCTTCGAAATATCCAAAATCACCAATATATTGGACAACGCTCGAACATCCATAGCTAAAGGCCTCTTCATAGGGGGAATGAATGCTACATTCCCCATACTCTCCTCCTTTCTCCTCAAGGCATTGACTACTATGTTAGCTTCCCCCGGATAATAAAGAATAGTGATATCATAATCCTTCAACATATCCAACCATCTCCGCTACCTCAAATTCAAGTCTTTCGATTTAAACAATGTTGGAGACTCCGATGATCCGTATACACCTCACAAGACACGCTATATAAGTAATACCTCCAAATCATGAGCACGTGTACGATGGTTGTTAACTCCAAATCATGCACCGGGTACTTCATCTCATATGGATTCAACTGGCGTGATGCATAGGAAATTACCCTGTTGTACTACATCAACACACACACAAGACCAACACGCGAAGAATCGCAATAGACCGTATACGACCCTAATCCTAAGGGCAATACTAAAATTGGGGTTGTAGTTAAAGGAGTCTTAAGCTTGTGAAAGCTCTCCACCCACTCGTCAGACTATCTGAATGGAGCGCCCTTCTGAGTCAACTTGGTCAACGGAGCTGCAATAGACGAGAATCCCTCCACAAAGCGACGTTAATAACCAGCCAAACCCAGAAAACTCTTGATCTTTGTGGTCGTAGATGGTCTGGGCCAACTTTGAACAACTTTAATCTTCTTCGGATCTACCTTGATCCCTTTACGAGACACCCTGTGGCCTAAGAATGCCACTAAATTCAACCAGAACTCACACTTGGAGAACTTAGCATACAACTTCTTCTCCCTTAGAGCCTAAATCACCGTCCTCAAATGCTGCCTGTGGTCCTCCCTACTGCAGGAATATACCAAGATATCATCAATGAACACAATGATAAATAAATCCAAATAAGGTTAGAGCACACTATTCATCAAATGCATGAATGCTACTAGGGCATTAATCAAGCTAAGAGACATCACCAAGAACTCATAATGCCCATAATGGGTTCTGAAAGTCGTCTTAGGAATGTCCGAAGCCCTGATATTCAACTGATAGTGTCTCTATCTCAAGTCAATCTTAAAGAACACTCTAGTACCCTGAAGCTAGTAAAATAAATCATCAATGCGCTACAGTGGATATTTATTCTTGATGGTTACTTTTTTTAATTGCCTGTAGTCAATGCACATCCTAATGGAACCATCTTTCTTCTTCACAAATAGTATCATCGTACCCCTAGGTGAAATTATTGGATATAGAAAATTATAGAAATCATGATTGAGAATATTACAGAATCACTCTTAATATCAGAGGTACAAAAGAGATATTACAACAACCATATTCTATAATGGCTCTACGAGAAAGCCAGTTAGAAGAGTACCAGCCTCATAAGAAGTTAGTATGAAGCTCCCATCGGATTGTGTATGCACCAGAGATGCAAGTATTATAATAGAGCTTCAAGTTGTGGAGGTGAATTATACCTATGTGGAATGGAGGTTATGAAAGGAATATAAGATATGATGCAAGATTTTAAGGCAAGTAAGGTAAAGGTGAACAACATACGAGATACTCAAGTGCATAAGGTTGTGAATGGTCCATACTTCAGATAGAAGGCTAGAAGCGCCGGGATTCAGTATCCGGGAATGATAGCGGCATCGTCAGTGGCATATCTTCCAACCTATGGTTTCTAAGTATCGAGAGGTCTAGCTAATAGAGTAAAGGAGAGTTAGAGACGATGCGATGTCTCGCTTGATGTTCCAGAATAACACAAGGAAATCTATGGTGCAAGCAAGTTGAAGGAATATTGCGAGTAGTATAAATCGATATGTGTAGGTCGCAAGCTAAAGTATGGTAAAGCGACAAAGTTTTAGGAAGACAGGAGTAAAAATAAGAAAAATGCAAGAGTGAAGATGGCGAAAATGGATAAGTCCTCGGGATTAAGCCCGTGAAAACAAGAGAGTTGATGGTTTCTCTAAGTTATGGAAAGTTCAGTATAGCCTGAATGAACTCAAAGGAATCTAAGACTAATAGCATTTAGAAGAGATGGAATGATGCCCTGGTGGTAGACTAAGAGTATAATTGTGATAAATAAAGGATGATGTTTGGGCCTTCGATTGAGTAATGATTTGATTTCATGGACGGCACGAGATTAGAATACCCCACCCATAAGATGAATCATGTTGGAATGCTATGAAATACGGTTATGGAAGTATGGTATCGCCCCCAGGTGGGTCAGGAAAATCACTTCAGATGTTCCCCGATGAGACGTGAGCCCTAGCGGCGGTGTTACATAAGAGATCAAGTTATCAGTGGTAGATGATAGATCAACATTAAGATGAATCAACAATGGAGGGACAAAAGTCACAAAATATGGGATAAGCAACGAACGTAACCTGGAGTTTGGTAGCATACCTCA